GTGAGGAAAAAATCTCATATTTAATTGCCTCCAAATTTTCCTTTATTCCTGGGAAGGCTTGGCAGGATTGTGAATATCTCTAGTGGCCAAGCTGTCAAACAAGCTTTTCCTTTTCAAAGGACATTCTTTTTTCTTTCTTTCTTTATTTTCCCTCCCCTCACTATCCGGGGCCAATTTTGGTTCTGTTTCCCACTCAACACCTCCTACTTCATAGGCAGCACTGGTCCCCACAAGCCCTCCAGCAGACTGAAAGCAAGGAGTGCTTTCTGCCTGGTTGACTTCCTGTCTTGAAGGCTCTGTGTCCAAATTTACACCAGAAGAAATCGGTGCAACTCAAGTTTAATATAGCTCAAAGCAGAGCTAATTCTGTGCTGAAACAGTCTGGAATGGCATACCAAACTCTGGTTTTGGCCATATGTACTAGTGTTTCACACTCCTTCCCCTCCCAAAAAATAAGTTTTGGTTCATAGTATTATCTGTTTTTATCTTATCTATAACCTATTCTAAAATTACACCATTTAAGCAAAGCCACCTTTTTAATTTCCTTTCTTATCTCATTGGTCTAAAATTACTATCCAACATAAGTGAGCAGGGAAACATACTATGATTTCTTTTTAAATAGCAATAAGAAGTGGATAATTTATCAGACACATTTCAAAATATTAATGGTGTAAAGACATCTTGATAAATGAGGGACGATTATTCTCATCTTCACAGACCAAAGTACAGCTGTGAAATCCTTCCAAGCAGTGCTCAAGACGTTTGATTTCTATTTTAGTTGATATTTGACAGAAAGGATTTTATTTTTACATAATCTAGGGGAAGTGGAAATGAGTATTTGTTCTGTCCTTTTTCCTTCTTGCTCTCCTTGCTTATCCTCCTGCCTTTTTATTTGTAGTGATTGCAGTGCTTTATTACACATGGTCCTGAGAGCCTTCGGGAGCTATGTATCTTCTGCAGTCAGTATTTTTCCTTATTATTTTAAGGTGTGGTAAACCCAGCTGTTGCCAGCTGAACACTTGATATCTAATGTCTGGAATGTATAAATTAGAAGACAGCTGAAAAGCACTTTAGCACAATAAAAACACAGATTTTAACTGAAGCACAGACCTACTTTGGGCTTCTTAGGTGAGATTCTCTACAGCTCAACTTCCACATTCTAAAGTGATCCTCTAGTTCATGAAAAGAAACGTAGGAATATCTGAAGTTAAGGAACCACAATATTATGCTGGAATAAAAGGCTTTGCACTAGACGAATCCTAGGTCTGAATTGCATTGAATTATGAATAAGAGGAGGGGAAGACTCCACTTTTCAGCACTAGCCCACAGTCCCATGAAATTAGTTGTAACTAAAGCCACGCTCTGAAGGCATGGTTCCATATGACAAGGTTAGAGTTCACTCTCTAACACAGAAGGAAATGAACACCCTCTCCCAAATTAAATATTCTTCAGTCTGGTTATTGAGTTGAAGTGGCTCATAGACCATATGGCAAACACCAAGGAGGAGCAAAGGGAGGGTGAAAACCTGAAGTTGGGACATGAGAAGTTAGTAACATCTCAGCTTCTTGACCTTGGTGAACTATTAGATCAGATCAGCTGCTCCTAAACCTGTCTAGAGGAATCAGTTTGCTCTGCAGATCATCACTTCAAGGCCCATTCTGGAAGAGATAAGACTCTACTGAACAGGATAAAATAAGCTATTTTTGCTTGTGCTAGCAGGTTCTTAACAGTACCTTCAGTATGCCATTGAACAGACAATCTGAAATGAAAGAGCTCTGAAATGTCTAATAAACTCACTGTGCAAAGATCCATGTATGGCTTCAGAAACGAAAATATTCCCAGACTATTGGAAAAAATTTGGAACAATGCTTAGTTATTCAGGAGGGGCATGATCTTAAAAGAAGCAGATCTGGCTCAAAACCAACACAGCTATGAAAAAAGTTTACCCAGGGGAAAGAAGGCAAAAAGCACTGAAGAACTGAGGTAACAGAGGAACCAACACTGGGGGAACAGAGGCTCTGTTGTTTTTATAGGCAAATGTTTCAGAAGTCTATTCAGCAAATTATTCACTTAGTCTTAAAGTAATCAGCCCATGGGACAAGTCTGGGGCACAAGCCCATTTCACCCAGCCTTTCCCTTTGTGCTGAAGGAGATGACCCCTCTGACATGGTCTGAATGACTTTCTGTGTCTTGGCACAGGCAGGCATTCCCTGATACCTCTGGTCTCACCCTGTCCTCCCACACAGAGGCACAATTAAGGCTCTGCCTATTCCACTGCACTCCCCAGTCATGGCTGCATTGCCAGGGCAAGGAGAAAGCAGATAGTTGTCCATGATGCCTGGAAGAGGGACAGAAATTTGAGAAGTAGGGAGAGAAGGGGAGCTGGTCCAGTGAAAGATGGGTGGTATTGGTCTGGTTGAGTGGGAGTAGTACTGCTGTCAAAAGGAAGGGAAGGAACAAGCTCCCAGGCACAAGGAGAATGAAAGATCAGGCTACAGAAATCTCCTATAACCAATATTCATACCTGTCAACTTTGGGTGTCCTATTAATGCTGCAAGCTTTTAGCTCAAGTGAAACCAGCATTATTGCCTTGAAATACAGCAGAAGTACTTCAAGTCTAAATAATTCAGATGTCAAAATGAGTAGGAGGACGAAAATGATTTAGCGGAAGGACTGCTTTGTTTTCGAGGTTGCTATTTCTTTCTATTTATGCACCCATACAAACACTAACAAATCAGTGAACTGGATGCACAACCAGACACCATCACTGATTACATCTTTCCCTGAACAAAAGCAGGGAAATAGAGGAGGGGAAAAAAAGCAAGTAAAAGTTATTTAAAAGGCAGAACTATTTGATGAGATTTTATCTGCTATGCAATTTAAACAGAATTCCCAAACTATTTATAATCAGAATGTTGAGGGTTGTTGGGCATTGCAAAGGAATTTTAAATAACTCCTGTTGGCAAAATTCTTTTCTCAGAGTTGCCAAATCTCATTGCTTTATCACAAATCTCATAATGTTGAATTGCTTATTTAAATCACAATTCAAAGAATTACTGACTAACGAGTTTCTTGCCTTTTTTTCTTCTTTAAATAAATGTAAATTTCTCAGGAACATATTTATTGCAGAAGGTAACAGATAATCAGAGTAAATACCAGAGCAGTCAGGGACCCTATTGTTCCTGTAGGCCTTTCTCTAATCAGAGGAGAAGAAAATCGCTGTTTACTGGCAGCTGCCTGCTGACAGCAGAAGGACACAGGGTCTGGGGCTCCCTGTTGTTCTGTGGCAGTGCTTGCCCTGGTTAATAAACCGTGGCCCCAGATTAGCTCTCATTCTGTACTCCCCCATCTTCCCTCCCCCCTGGCCTCTCAGGGTCTTTTCACATTACTGAAACTTTCATGAATACAAAAAATTCCACTGGCCTCACTGTGACTCCACCCAGAAGGAGAGGCCGGTTCCACCAGCCCATATAGAGCAGCAGTAAAAAAAAAACCTCAACGCAGCAGTACTTTTTAATTATAACTCAACTGCTGGCAGGGTTGGGGGCAGGATTTGTGCCTATTACCTGCCCTGACCATTGCATGTAGAGAAGTCTGTGATGGACACCAAGCTGCCTTCAGCCTTCATGGACACATAGGTCTGCCCAGGCAGTGTCAGGAGGTCAGTGTTGCCTCTGGTCATGTATGGGACAGCCAGCCCAGGTAAAACCCTAGTCTTGGTCTGATTTAAAGCTCAGGTTTTTGTTATGCTTTCAGTATCAGGCACTTAACCTTCTTCAGTTGTCAGTAAAACACCACATATAAATGTCTAAAGGGGAGGTGTCAGAGGATGGAGCCTGGTGCTTCTCAGTGGTGTCAAGCAATAGGATAAGAGGCAATGGGCAGAAAGTGATGCACAGGAAGCTCCACCTGAACATGAGGAAGAACTTCTTCCCTGTGTGGGTGACCATGTGCTAGAACAGATTGCCTAGAGAGGTTGTGGAGTCTCCCTCACTGGAGACACCAAGAACCCTCTGGATGCAATCCTGTGCAGTGTGCTCTAGGACATCTCTGCTTGAGCAGGGTGGTTGGACCAGATGACCCTCTGTGGTCCCAGCCTGACCCATTCTGTGACTTCATCCTCCATCTGATCAAAGGCACCTGAGGAATTTTTGAACACCAAGACTCTCAAAAATTGAGTTTTCAAGACCTTCAACCCTTGAAGATATAATTCAGCTGCACATACTTCACCCGCAGCATGTTTTCTGTCTCTAGCATACATCAGTGTGGAAAATAGAGTAACTCTCCAGGATTAAAAAAAAGTTCAATAGGGAATAAGAAACAAAAGTCCAGTGCTGGGGTCTATTAAACTTTTTTAAAACCCAGAAGAGTTACTCCGTTTTCCACATCAGTGCCATCTGGAGGCTCCTTGTGGAGACCCGAGCACTGCACAAATGCATCCCACTTGTAATGGTTTTAACCAGGTGGGGGCTGACCTCTTCTCCCCGATGACTACCAATAGGAGACAAGAGGTCAGACTTCAGCTGCACCAGGCGAGCTTTAAGTTGCACATCAGGAAGATTTTTTTCACAGAAAGGGTGGTTAAACACTGGAATAGACTGCCCAAGAAGGTGGTGGAGTCACCATCCCTGGAGGTGCTTAAGGCAAGTCTGGACGTGGCCCTTAGTACCCTGGTCTAGTTGACATGGTGCTTTTCAGACTCCATGACCTTTTCCAACCTCAACGATCCTGTGATCCAAAGAGCAACAAGCGCAGATCCTCGCTCAGCGACCCCGTCTCAAGACGGGGCGCTGACAGAGGCGCACCTGCCCTCTCCTTTCCCTCACACCCTCGGTCCCCTGGGCCGCGCCCCGCCGGGCGCCGCCGCCTTCCCGGAAAGGATCCGCCCCTCCGCCCCGCGCATGCGCGCGCCGCCCCGCGGCTGCCGCTCGCCCCTCCGCCGCCGGGGGCGCTGCCGCGCGCCTGCCCGCGCCTCGCGGGGGGCGGGTCCCGCTCGGGTCCGCGCCCGGATCGCGATGGCGGCGGCGGCGGCAGGAGCCGGGGCCGGGGCAACCGGGGGAGGCGGGGAGCGGAGCAGCACCCGGGACCGGCTGCTGGCGGCGCTGGAGGATCTCGAGCTCTTGGCCAGGTACCGCGCTCGGCCGCCCCGTGCGCCCCGGGTGGCGGCGGGGTACCGGGGGCGGGCTGAGGGCTCCCGGCGCGGTGCGTGCGCGGAGCCTCCGGCGGGGGCGGCGGGAGGAGCGGGAGCCCCTGAGGTTGGGATGGGAGGTGCCCGGCCCGACTGGACCGCTGGCCCGACCCGGCTCGGGTACGCGTCTTCCTGCTCTCTCGCCGTCCTCAGGCCAGAGGGGCTGGTGCTGCGCCGGGGTTCGGCCCGGCCCGGCCCTGCGCAATGCTTCCCGGAGCTCGTCCCAGTGGGAAAGCATCGGTCGTGCTTCGCTCCCCGTCCGCAGAGAAAAGGAGCGCTTCCTTTTTCTCCCACTTCCCTTTCGCACTGTGTTGACACCTGTGTTTCCTGTGAAGTGCACACTCACACGCCGATTTTAGGCATTTTATTAGTCACTAAAAATTATGTTTAAGTCAGAAATACGTAGATGGTATGACATAAGCTGTTCTGGTATTGCCTGTATTAGTGCCACATTCATTCTAAGTAGGCTGCAGAGCTCATCTTCAGAGTGATAGAAATGCTCAGATACTTAGTCCAGGTCTTGAGTCCTGGCTGGTAATCCCCATCCAAGTTGTCAATCATGTCGTGGAGGCACAGCTGGCAGTGAAGTTCAGAGAGTTCCTAATTATTTTCCACACCTCAGGGAGAGCAGGAGCTTAGGAAAGCATTTTCATAGGGAATAATCCGTGCTATCCATGTGGCTTGCTCACTCAATGATTACCAGAAGCAGTATAAGCTATTGGTGAGTTGCTCTTCTGTTTAAGTTTTATCCTCAGTCTCAGTTTTATTGTGACATAAGGGTTGCTGGAGAACACCTGTTTATGGAAAAACGAAAACAAACTTGTTCTTTATCTAAATAGCTTTTCTTTTTTGATGCAGGAACTAGCATTCTAACTCAATGAACCCAGAGCAACGCTCAGCAGCTTTTCATGAATCTTCCTGTTGATCAGCAAAGTGTTGCAGCACCCTGGGGCTAGGCCTTTCTCAGTCACAATACTGGTTTGGTGGTAGGGGCAAAAATTAAGACAAATGTCTGATCTGTAGCCTTTCTGTAGTTTTAGATCTACATCTGTGCATTATCTGGCTGATGCAGAGTAGAATTACAGCACTCCATGACATCATCCTTGATGGTGGTAGCTGACCTACTTAAAATGGATTTTATTTGCTACCGCTCAGTGTTGTTCATTCAGTAGAATGAAGCTTTAGTAGCAATGACAAGTTTCTTTATTCTCTAATTGTTTAAAATCATGGTAGTGTTCAGGAGTGACCAAGAGACATAGACCAAGATCAGAGCTTACTGGAGTTTTTTTTAGACATTTCTGGTCCCACTGCTGTATTAATCAGACACCCCATGGAGCTGCTTACACTGGACCAAGCAAAGAATCATTACTTTTAAGGACAGTGTCTCCAGATAGACAGTTACTTGTGCATAGGGTTGAACTGCCATTCATAGCCTTTGAAGCCAAATAACTGCTGAATTTACAGAAAGTGCCTTTTTTGCATAGTGGTGCCCAGAGATTTTGCTGGATTTTCAGAACAGTGGCAGAGTATCTGGATATCTGGAAGAGTGATCAAGAGGTCTGTTTGAGAAGCACTTTTAGCATAGCACCAGAATATTACCAGGGTTTCTTTTAAATGATTTTGTGTGCTTGATGCACAGCTAATATAGCATTGTATAAATACTTGTTGTAAAAGTAGTTCCATAAGAGACTCTGTTGGTATTTGAAAGTGTAGATTTAATTGCTCTAAACTACAAATATATTGGAGAAAAAATGGAGAAAAGTAGAGAAAACAGCGAAGACCCTCTTGAAACAAACAAAGGCAGTAGAAGAAAGGTATGAGTGCATTTCATTATGCTGTTTCTTCTCTGAGCTTCTGCTTATGTCTTTGATGGTGTAACAGGAACTTAGCACCTTTCTTGAGTTCAAATATGTGAGGGCTTCATGAGCTCAAATAACAAAGAAAAAAAAGTGCTTTCTTGGTTGAAAAATCACTGCCACATTGTACTATAAAATAGAAAATACTCAGGTCCATGAACACTTTTGTAATGAAACCAGTACTCTGGTAATTTGGGGATGACATGATGTGCTAATGCCTTAGAAAATTGTGCAAATGGAGTTCTCCTTTCAGGGAACTAATTGAAATTTTGGCAATTTCAAGAAACCAAAAGCTTCCACAACCAGGAGAGGAGAGCCAGGTAAGATGACTTTCTGAATTGTGTTTCTTTGGGTAAGCATGATGCTTTATTTCTATTTTTTTTCCATTCTTTTGTTTGTTCTTACTTTCTCCCTTTGTCCTTGCCTATATTCAAGCTAATGGTCGTGATGGGGCTTTAGCCCTGCTACAAAGGCATTATTGGCTCTCCTGTTGTTTATTCATTTTTTATGTGCTTCATAGGCTGTTTCTGTAAACAGAAAGAAATTTTGTTTCATTTTTCATTCGAACAAAAATACTCCTATGGATGCCCTTTGCTCTTCTTTGTAGCATGACTGAGGGAGTGTTGTTACTCTAGCCAAATTAAAAGTTCTACAAAACTGTTGTTCAATAGATCCTGGAACTGCTGATTCAGAGAGATGGAGAGTTTCAAGAGCTAATGAAGCTGGCAGTTGATCAGGGAAAAATCCATCATGAAATGCAGCTTTTAGAAAAGGTAGTAGAAAAGCGGGATAATGATATTCAGCAGCTGCAGAAACAGCTAAAAGAAGCAGAGCACATACTGGTAAGTTCATAATGATGTGTTTGCTTTTGAGCATCTTCTTGTAGAAAAGGTGGTTTTGGGCAAAGTGGTGTTGTGTTAATTTGAGAAGATTGAAATACTTAAAACTTCATAAGAGCTTAGTGGTTTGGGTTTTTTCTCAGTAGTCAAACACTGTATAGTTATCATGGTATTAAGGTTTTTTTTATAATGCTAATTTTCTTCTAAACCTACTTTATTTCTGTGTGTTTTGAAAATGTTCATGGAAGTTTCGCTTTTAAAATGCAATTAAATGATAGGGTTTATTCACAGAGCTGACTTTATGTAGACATTTGTAAATTAAAGATGCATTGAAGATTTAGTTTACTTCATGGGTTTTTATTTTTTATAACTAGGCAACAGCTGTTTATCAAGCAAAGGAAAAACTGAAATCAATTGAAAAAGCACGGAAAGGTGAGTATCCATGATTGTACATACTGCATAAATGCAATTCTAAACAAAGTTGCTAGTGAGCTCAAATTGGGCCTTTTAAATTATTTTAGTTCTACTATCACAGATTTCAGATGCTTTGTGTGTAAACAATTTTTCATCTCATTATGAAACTAACCATTTGCTCAGAATAAAGGAAGGATTGAATTATTTTTTTTTGTGCAAACTTACCTTAATATGAAAGTCTCAGCAGTCTTCTTGGACTGATAATAGTATATCTGATTCCCTAAGTGCCTTACCAAATTGCCTTTGGAGGTTTGCCAAGGAAAGGAAGAGAATGTTGTGTGTACATGCACTGTATTTGAAGGACTGACTCTAGCTGGTGATACTAGATTGTAATTGTAGCGATTCCTGCCATTCTGTGACACTTACCAAGTTAAGCTAACTTTTTTTTTGTGGGGGAGGGGACTGAGGCACCTTCTTCAGATTGTTTTGTTTTGTTTTTTTTACAGTGTCTTTTATAATTTTGTTATGTGTCTTTCACCTAGAAAATCAAGGAATTTAATAAAGTTTCTATTCATCTAGTACAGGCACATATTTGGAATGACTCCTCTGGGTACATAATTACTAAAAGAGCAAAAAAAAAAAAATTCTTTGCTAAAAAAAATCATGTAGTAAAGCAGGAGCTGAATTACAAATTTTTTTTGTGCTTGTCAAGTACACTTGTTTAAGAGACTGTGTTTTTCACAAGGTTGGAGGACCATTGATATTAAATGTGTTTTGCACTCGTGTGTGCGTTAAATCAGTTCACTGGAATGCTCATCTTTGCATATTCTGAGAATCTTCTAAACAGTCATTGCTCTGAACCAGGCTCTTAATGTTTGGCAAAATCACATTCCCAGTCTTTTAGATATTGGTGGTCAGTACTCTGAAGTAATTAAATGACACAATCTCTTGAGAATGCAGCAACATTTTTTTCCATTCTTCCAGGTGCCATTTCCTCTGAAGAAATAATTAAATATGCCCATAGGATCAGTGCTAGCAATGCTGTGTGTGCCCCTCTGACATGGGTACCAGGTAACTATTGTGTTTATGACAGTAGATTTTTTTCATAATAAATCATGGTTAATACCTGGTCATACAATGTTTATATATGGCAATAACCACTGGGGTTTATTAGAGTAACATTGTTTTCAGCTGCTATATCTAATATTACAGTAAGAATGGATATCCGAAGTCCTATGAACTTCACATACATCTCCAAAAGGTTATGACACTGTCTGCTTTTATTAACAGACTGGCCTCCTCTGTTCTCCTTTGTTTGCCTTTTGCCCCTGAATGTTTACCTTGATTAAAAGTCAAAGCCAAGTATGTTAAAGGCTTTTCTCTGTGTTTGGTTGTGTTCCCTCTTGCCCCTTAAAATATTCTTTCAGAGAATATTCGTAAACAGTGGAGTCAGAAGCAGAACTCTTACTATGACATGTTTCAATTTTGGGTACTACCCTCTTTCTCCAAAATGAAAAGGTGTTTGATCCAATTCCTGTCCTTGCTGTTTAGCTGTGAAGTAGCAGGGAGAGCAAAGGTATAAACAAAAACTTTTTTTTTTGTTTTAGTTGCTTTGGGTTGCTTGGCTGTTTTTTAATATGCTTTTTTCTGCCAAGTTTGAATGAACAATGAAAGTCTAAGTGAAAGATAGACTTGGATTTTAATAAAACATGTGTGATGCTCATTGCTCATCCAGGCATCCTGGAGTATGGGGTTTTTTGGTCATTAAACTAGGCTCTGAAGCCAAAGCTAGTGTCTGCAAGACAAGTTAAATATTTCAAAGCATTCTTTTTTTTTCTTAAAGGGGACCCGCGTAGGCCATATCCTACAGATCTGGAAATGAGAAGTGGTCTCTTGGGTCAGATGAACAACCCATCCACCAATGGAGTCAATGGACACTTACCAGGGGACGCACTTGCAGCAGGCAGACTGCCAGGTAAGTGAAACTCACTTTTGTTTAGTTTTTCTTTACTGCTTATAGATTCACAGCTGTTACACATTTCCCCTAGCAAAGGCAAATCAGAGGTAAAGCAATGAAAATTGTGGTTAATGTTGTTCCCTAGCAGTGAAGACCTAGTAAAGAAAGGTAATTAGAAATTGCATAATTTTTTTTATTTCATGCTAAACTGCAGACACTACAGCTAAGTCAGTACAAAAAACCCCCTTATATATATAAATAAAGGTGTAAAATAACCTTTGTATATTCTAAATAAATAATTAAGTGATTTCCAGACATATTAGAAAGAAGTCCTTTCAGAGCAGCATTTGCTTAGTGGTGATGACAAAGCATGGAATTGTGAAAGATGTATTTGGAAGAAAGGTGGTTTATTGTCATTCCCTACCTTTCTTTGAGTCTGTGCTTAGAAGTTCTGGATTTAAAAGACGTGGCAGCGGACAACTGCTAGATAATACATTTGAGTGTCAGAATCAAGCTTCAATCCCTTAATTGCTTTGTGAAATGGGTGCTTCCATTGACTTCAGTAGGATTCATTCCTTCATCAAAAATTGAATTCAGTAATAAATTACAGTAATTGAATCAAGAGTTCTGTTGCTCTGTACCTGTGCAGCATTGATTTACCATTGTTAGACTGAAGGGTGGAAAAAGTCTTAGTTTGGCTTCATAGGAGATCTGTAACAATTCTTACGTATCTATTAAGCCACTATCAGGCGTTATGGAAAGCTTGTTTTTAAAAATCATGTTGAATTTGTTAAAAAAACCCCTCTTGCAAGTCTATTGAAGAAATAGTAAATTTGGATTTTGTGTTTCCGATCACCTGTCTAATCCTGTTGTCACCTCTTAAGAAGTGATTTGAAATCCTGCATGATTTCACTTTGTAAATCTCTGGCCTTGGATAAAATGGGTCAGTGAGCTGAATGGGAGTAAGACCCTAACATCTGCCCATAGCAACCCACCAGGAAAATGCCGAGGATTGCCCCAAGTATCTTCTCTGTTCTTTTGAAATATGGTCAGAGGAAATGCTAAGGTTGTGACTTCCTAATGGAGTTTGAGCATTTATTTCTAGATGTTTTGGTAAAGCCCATTCTGGCTGGCTGCTTTGCCTTAGAGGATGCAGACTTGATCCATTAACTTTTGAGTGCTGTCTCTATAAGAACTGAAAGGAATTTTCAGGAATTTCAGGAATTTTCCATGAGAAGCTGGAAAATGTGGAATTTAAACTCCTCCAGTAAAGCTCTTAATTGAGTCTTGGGCTCCTCTGTCAGGTTGAACCCTCATAACTAGAGTGTCAAGGTTAGGGGGAAACACTGATTTACAAGAAAGTTGAAGCTGCCTGAGTGTTTTGTGTAGGGATGCTGAATCTGTTGGTGCATGGAGGCATGTCCTGAGAATGCTAATTATGGGATGTAGTTCTTTTGGAGAGTCCTACAGAGATGTCCAGTTACTGAGTTCTTAGTGAATGTGCAGACCAGTTGCTGGACTGCTTGGTAGCCTGCAAACTTTGAGGCTAGTTAGCACACACATTTAGCCTGGTTTAATAGCAGGCTGGATCTAGCACTGAAGCATGGCCACAGAATGTAAAACACCGGCTTCCATTCTGAGCTCATTCAGATAAAGGCTTTTCAGGTATGTTTGGATAAAGTCTTTTTCTCTGAAGTTTTTATGGCCTGCCTGATTTTTTTTAATGTTTTAATCTATTTTTGCACACTGACAGACTGTGATAATTTTCATTAATCGCAGTAGTTGTGAATGCTGAATCAGTTTAAACTCTGCTTTGAAGATGCAAAGCTTTGTATTGAGCATATGAGTTATCAAGAGCCACCTACATAAATGGGCCACTCTGGTAGAGCAGACTTTTACTGTTACAGAATTGCTCCATCAGGAGATGTTTTCTAGCTGTTACTGGAGGGTTTAATCTGTCCAAAATTCAGAAAGGATTTCAAGATTTGTTTTGATTTGAAGTTCTGGTTGAGCTGTCTTGTTGAATTTATCACTATACAAAATTGAAAGTTTTCTTGATTATGTCTCTTTTTTTCCAGATGTGCTTGCTCCTCAGTATCCTTGGCAGTCAAGTGATATGTCAATGAACATGCTACCTCCTAATCATAGTAATGACTTCATGCTGGAGCCTCCAGGACACAATAAAGAGAATGAAGATGATGTAGAAGTTATGTCAACAGACTCCTCAAGCAGCAGCAGTGACTCAGACTAGGTACAAGGGGGTATCCCTAGTAGACCTTTCCTGTGGCGAAGGTAGGTTAGATGATGTTTGTCACAAACTGCAATATCCTTTTGTTACACCAGCAGCCCTGTGTAGGGAGAAGATAACAGCTGGCTCAGAGATAGGGTGACTAATTTAAAACCATGGACTGTAGCCTTGGTTTTTTTCCTATTAGATGTTCTACGAGCTGGGAGAAATGTCTGGGAGCTGTCTGCTGGGGGAGAGATGTCAGATTTTCAGTGATTGTGTAAATGTATGTTTGCAAGAGATGTGTAAATATATATTTATATACATGTATTTACTATACATTAGATGACATAAGTTCCTGGGAAAAAAAGGTGTAAGGGGAATCCCCTTGTATGTTTGTTAGTAACTTTACTCTTTGATGATAGCCTTTTCTATGCCACAGAAATGAAACATGAAGTTTGTAATTTTAGTATCTTTTTTTGTTACTGCCTAAATCCATGTTCTTGGTCATCTGTGTATCAAGAACAAAAATATGGCAATAAGGTGTAATAAAAGAGTTTGTAATTATTGTAATATATTATGAATGATTTGTCATAAATAAACTCAGCTTTGATCTAACTTCAATTTTTCAAACTTGAATCTTAGATGACTTGCCATGTAACTTCAGTACTCAGCACATTTTATCCCAGTATGTGGTTGAATTCTGATTGCATTTCAGAAGTTTGTACTCCATTTTCCCCTATGCAAAATGCCCAGTAAGCATTAGAAGCAGCTGAGGAGGAGTCAGAAGTGGAAAGCCTGTCCTTCCTTTACAGGTGAGCCCTTCCAGGTACACACAGTGCTGGGCAGACTCCAAGGCAGCGAGTGCCCACCCACACGACTGCCCCAAATATTTGGTTAAGTGTCCTGGGACCCTGGAGGTGACACACTTTGGGGCATACTGCAGGTTTAGCTCCTTTCAGATCAAAGTGCTCAAGGATTTTTTTGTTCTTGTCATCTATAATTTTTTCAATCCTTTGAACCTTCTAATTTGTTTACTTTGGCAGTTGCATTTCCTGCATCAGCTGCAATTTTATTTTGTCTTTCCAAAGGCACTTCCCTTGGCTTTCCTCTCCTGTTTTGCTTAAGGACTCATTTTATGACAGCTGCTTTTCTCTTACATAATCCTCTGATAAAATTTCAAAACTCTTGTGAACTGTTGCTCTTGGCAGTTACAGGTTTCTGTCCTGCAGCACAGATCACAATTCTCTTCCTTTTTCCATTTTGTAGATTCCTCACAGGAAGAATCTGATGAATCAGGTAATTCCTCCTTTGCTCAAGTAATCTTTCAAACATTGCTGCCAGTAATGCTGCCACCTGTGACTGATATGTACAAAGATTTCCATAAGGATGTAGAAGGGAGAAGGACTTCAGTCACATTTATTCACATAACATGGGGCAGTGGGTTTTGTTTTCAGAGAAGTGGGGAATTTGGTTTTGTCTCAGCTGTTTCTTTTAGAAGTATTTTCAGAGTTATTAAACTGTCTCCTCTTTCAGAGTCTAAAGTTATTAATCTACATACATATTGTAACTTTTATTCAATATCATGGTTTCCTCCTGGGTGCTTATCTCCAATGTCTTTAACTCACATTAATCCCAATAAATGTGCCCTGTCTCAGTCATCCTAGTTAACCTTGCCTACCCTTTTTCTAGCTCACATTAGTTTTTGTCTTAAAACATGTGTGATCAGAATTGTACACAATATTGCAAAATGGAGTTTCTTAATGCTTTTTATAATGGGATTGGTATTTTCTTTCTAAATGGCCCTCTCTAAACACATCACACAGACGAAGTTTACCAGTCTCTTTTATCTTCTAACTTACAAGGACATGGTTGAAACAAAATACAAAAATACATAATTAATATTCATGGGAAGTGTAGTGTTACAGTCTACCCAAAACTCTTCTATGGCTGTATCATGTAATTCACCAGCTGAAATATTGTGTAGGTGGGTGATTGTTTCCAGACATAAGAGGGCACTGAAACAATGACCACTTATTTTTCTGTTAGTTTTCTTGTTAGATACTCTATTAAAGGATTAAATGGGACCAGTGTATTACATCTAAGAAATAGGTAAGGCAGTAGCTCTGCCCACTGTTCACTTAGCATAAAATCAAACTTTAGGTATTAGATGCGTCCTAATCACTTTCCTTGCATCAGTGCTCCAAACTGTGTACAGTTCAGGAGTATGTTCCTCAATGCTGACTAACTGTAATGCCATTTTAGGTGAGTTCTCTCAGTTAGAAGCAGTTTAGTGAACCATGGTAACCAAGTGTTCTGTTATGCAGTGGCTTAGATATGTACACAATAGATTTTCCCATTTGGCAGAAGTACCAAAAATCAAAGTAAAGACTTAGTTGAAAGGATTGAGTCTTGGCAGCTAAAATCAGCTGAGAACCACATTTTCTGGAAGGGTGGGAAATAGAACTGTGTGATACATACAAACAAAGTTATTTAAGTTGGGGATTGCTGACAGCTGGTTGCTGCACTGTAGTCTTTTAATCGGTCGATTTAGAAAGGATACAAAAATGCTGACATACGGAGATACTGTTTGTGTCCTCATTTCAGCGTCTACTTGTGTATTTACAAGAGATAGACTGAATATAACCATTAACAAAATATGCCAAGAAAGTATTTATTGCATGACAGACCATTTTACAGCGGTCCCTGTTCTCTCATCAGGACTTAGATGTTTTCTAAAATTTAAAATTGTACTAATTAATTAAAATTTTTTTTCTTCATTATTCTTTGTGACAGATGGGCAGGACATCTGTCAGCTCTTCCTACAGCTTCTTTGTTGACAGCTGAATGGAATAATTTTCAGTGTACATAAGGTTGCTTTCAGGAAGCAAATCTCCGCTTTTGAATAGAAAAATAGGCTTTTTTCAAAGGAACAGTAGCAGTGGAATTTTTGGTGATATTTCCCATTTCAAGACTGCTGTGCAACACTACTTCTTTCTTCACTCAGAGAACGGGTGTCTGTCCTAAGGGAAGTTGCACATAATTAATACTTCAAACTCTAAGCAGGAAGGGTGCCAGGGGCAGTAGCATCCTTATGCCTCATCATTCTGTTTCTCAGCAAGAGCCATCTCCATTTAAAAAAATGAATGTACAAAGTAAGGAAGAGCTTTAAACTCCTCAAGCTGATTTATTTTAAGAACTGAGAAGTCAATTCATAATTTCAGGTGATTTTAATCTCTCAGTATTATGCCTGTGTTTTATTCAAAATAAATTAAAGATATCTTACAACATTTTTGTACAATTAGTATATCTAAAGGAAATAGACAAGAGATGTGCTATAAAAGAAGTCTGACAAGAAAAAAATGAGCCAATTAGCGATTTCTTTAAAAGTTACATCCTAAAATTAATTGCTGATTTCTTGGTGACAACAGCTGGAAAATAATCAAAATTGGTTGCAGATTCTAGAAAAATTAAAAATATTAACTCCTTGGTTTTGTATGTGCTATTGGGTACTGTAATTTCATTCACTAACAGCTCAGTCATTTAATTGGTCGAACTGAAAATTCCTATTTTACCAAATTTCAATAGTCAGCCATAGGGAACTACACCCATCTGTGCTGTTTGAAACTGACAACTCTTTGGCCACAAAGTAGGATTTCTGCAATGGAGCTACACCTATAAATTAAATTTGTGTCGGCCTAATAGAGTAGGCATCTCTCCATTCCAAGAATTTGGTAACAAATTCAGATCAATTGCAGAGACCTGAGGCATTTCTGCAGATAAATTCAATGTAACTGAGGATCTAAACAGAACTCTGCTATGGAAGCAACTGGCAAGAAGGGTCAGGGAATTTTCATTCCCTGCAATGTGTCATAACAGTCTTCACATTTATAAGTCTTTTGATTTTCAAGTGTATACTGCTGACTGCAGGAAAAAAAGGCATTGTCTATTAAATATAACTTTTGTTTTTCATAACTGAAGCTAAGAGACAAAGCTAAGTTTTAAAATTGGTCCAATAATTACAGGAAAGCAGGTTTAAACAAGTAAGTTTTGCTGCAACTGCTTTTAAGTGAGTAAGCTTCCCTGGCTAGTGCTGACTTCCAAATGGCTGTTCATCAATATTTATATTAGCTAGATAAAACACTCAGTTTTCTGTAAAAGCAAATGTTAATTGTTAACTACTAAATCTAGAAATGGGTCTGGAATGAGAGAAAACTGTTGTGTGAAATATGGGAAAAGCACTGAAACAGTTGGCATGTTCTTTGGAAAACAATATTTTCACATGGGCAGGGTGAGCACTTTATATCTTTTTTACTTCTACACCAAAAAAAAGCAGGTCTGCCCTTTAATTTGTGACATAACATACAATTTGTTTTTTACTCTAATTGGTGACTTCCCGTGTACCCCTTTAGATGATCGAGTTCTTCTGTAAAGGGGTTATAACCTTGCTCTTTTAAACAGCGTAAGGCCCAGAACAGTTGATCTGCTGGAGGAAATTCATCCCATTTCACCTATTCCCAGCCTGTAGGGAAAAAAAATAAAAAAAAAAAAAAAAAGGAAGAAAAATCAGTATAGAGTTAAGATGGCATCAAAGAAAACAGCACGAATCTGTGAGAGGGGAGGTTTAGGCTGGATGTTAGGAAAAGTTGGTGAGGCACTGGAATAGACTCCATAGTGCAGCCTGACAGCTCAAGCAGTGTTTGGACAACCACAGGTACAATGTGGGATTGCTGGGGCTGTCCCGTGCAGGGCCAGGAATGGGATTTAATGATGCTTGGGGGACCCTTCCAATCCAGGATATTCTTTGTTTCTGTGATACAACAGTTCTTTCTTTGCAAGTCTAGATGGATCATATAGAAACTACCAATACAAAAACAAGTTTTCTGTTGCACAGAGTCATTTTGCCTGAGCAGCTTTTTTGTTTCCCAGAGAAGCTGTGGATGTCCCATCCCTGTGAGTGTTCCGGGCCAGGCTGGATGGAGCTCGGAACCACCTGATCTAGTGAGAGGTGTCCCTGCCCGTGGCACGGGGCTTGGAACTGGATGACTACTCACTCTCGTTCTTGTCGGGCTCCTGGTTGCGCGGCTCGGCGCCCGGCTCGGCCTCTCCCTTCATGAGCACGGTGACATAGTGGTAGCGCTGGGACTCGCACACCGCGTTCACGGCCGACGCGAACCGCACGTGGCGCAGCCGCAGCGCCGCCTCCTCCAGCGTCTCCCGCGCCGCGCACTCCGCCAGGCTCTCCCTGCGGGCGGGCAGGGCAAGGAAAGGCAGGGGAAGGCACGGCCGCCTCAGGGCACGGCGGGGCAAGGGAAGGGCAGGGCGGGACGGAGGGCGCGGGGCTCCTACCCGAACTCCAGGTGGCCTCCGGGGAGCTGGTAGGTGCCGGCGCCCAGCGCGCCTTTCCGCTTGCCCAGGAGGACGCAGTTGGGGTGCGCGGCGCTGGTGACCACCACCCCCACGCCCACCCCGGGCCGCCGGGGCCCAGCCGCCTCCTCGCCCATGGCAGCGCCGGGCGCTCGGCGAGGTTCCGTCCCGCCGCGGGCGGGAGGGGGCGGAGGCGCCAATCAGGGTTTAGGATCCCGGGTTTTGGGAGGCCCTTGGCCGGCGTGCGAGATGCGCCAGGTGGTGACGTCGGTGGTGAGGAAGGTGGAGATGTTCCAAGGCAGGCTCGAGAGGAGAGAGGTGCCCTGTCCTGCCCTTTGCCTGGGGTTTCTTTGCCTCTGCGTGCGCAGGG